TAGGGCCCAACAAGTGGAGACCAACTCGAAAGAAAGGCTCGTTGGGAACGTCGATCAGCTGAAGGTAACCGGCTGGGAGGGCAGACGGCGTTTTGCGACGCTGACAAGACTCACAAGCGGCGACATGGCGTCGACCAGAGCGGGCAAGTCCAGGTCAAAAAAACCGACGTCGTACCCAATCGTATGTGCGAGAAACGCCCGAATGGCCCGTCATGGGAGCGTCATGAAGTTGATGCTGGACAGTGGAACGCAGGTGCGCTGGGATGACAGGAAGTAAGTCTGATCCAAAGGAATCAAGGTTACGGTGATATCGGATCCCGTCTTTCACCAAAAACATTCGTAGGGACGGGTCGTGAGGCGTTGACTCCAGTTTGTCAATGATGGCTCCTAAAGAAGCATCCCGACGTTGCTCTTCGCCAATGTTCAACAGCTGCGACAAGAAAAAAACGTCCATGATAGCGTCAGTATCAGTTGCTTCGTCAACAGGGCAGCGGGAAAAACAATCCGCATCCTGATGGAATTGCCCTGTTTTGTACGTTACAGAGAACGTGTACTCTTGAAGGCGTATAGCCCAACGAGCGAGACGTCCCATGGGGTCCTTCAGGGAGGCTAGCCAGCAGAGTGCGTGATGACCCGTGACAACGCGAAATCAGCGCCCGTACAGGTATGGACGAGACTTGGCGACTGCCCATACAAGGGCGAGGCACTCGCGTTCCGTGATAGAATAGTTGCGCTCGGCTGGAGATAGCAGTCGACTTGCGTAGGCTATAACACGGTCGTGTCCCCGTTGTTGCTGCAATATCACAGCTCCTATGCCGTGTCCACTGGCGTCCGTGTGAACCTCGGTTGGGGCTAATGGATCAAAGTGAGCCAAGATTGGTGGCGTTGTAAGCTGTGTCGTCATCTGCGAAAACGATGACGCTTGATCATGGCCTCAGATAAACGAGGCGTCTTTCTTCAAGAGGTCTGTGAGGGGGGTGCAATGGTCGCAAAGTCCTTATCAAAGCGTCTGAAATATGAGCACTACCCCACAAAACTGCGGAAATCCTTTGTGGTCCTCGGAACGGGAAAGTTCGTGACTGCACGAATTTTCTCTGGGTCTGGACGCACGCCTTGGGCATCGACAAAGTGACCGAGCACGGAAATTTGACGACGAGCGAAGTGGCACTTGGAGGCGTTAAGCTGAAGCCCAGCTCGACGAAAAACGTCCAGAATAGCTGACAAACAATCAAGATGCGAGTCAAATGTGGGCGAAACGACTTAACATCGTCAAAGTAACACAAGCAGGTGGACCATTTCAACCCTTAGAGGAATGAGTCCATCATTCTTTTAAATGTGGCTGGTGCATTGCAGAGACCAAAGGGCATCACCTCAAACTGATAAAAACCATCAGGAGTGATGAATACGGTCTTCTCGCGGTCCATCTCGTCGACGGCTATCTGCCGCTCACCTGACCGAAGGTCAATAGTTGAAAAATAAGTGGCACCGTGCAGGCAGTCGAGGGCGTCATCGATGCGAGGTAAAGGATAATTGTCTTTATTGGTAATTTTGTTAAGGTGACGGTAATTGACACAAAAGCGCCATGTTCCATCTTTCTCTTTAACAAGGACGACTGGAAAAGCCCAGGGGCTGCATGAAGGCTGGATAATGTTTTTCATAGGCATTTTGCCGACTTCATGTTGTAATATTGCACGCTCCGACGCAGACACATGGTAGGGGCGTCGGTGAATGGGAGTTGCATGGCCAGTATTTATGCGATTGGTGACAATGGTCGTTTGGCCTAAAGAGTTGCTGGCAAAGTCGAAAATGCTACGATAGCCCTCAAAAACGTGGCAAAGCGCTGCAGCTTGCTCAGATTTGAGGTCCGATTACACCATTCGCTCGATGTCGGTGCCCCAAGAACGTGATGAAGTGGAACCACTGACTGAGCTGCAGCAATCGTCAACTCTTGAGGGCTCGACATAGTGATCTTGGAGAGCGGTAATTTTGGCCAGGGAGATACCCTGCGGGAGAACTTGGGTGGTGAGTGAAAAGCTGACCAGTGGAAGGAAGGTGTGGTTTCTCGTAATTGTCAGAATCATATGCGGCACAGCAACCCCATGCGTAAGCATCACGGCAGGAATCGAGGCCACCATGTAATCACCATCAGGTACTGGCGTCGTGGAGGATAAGTCGACATGTGTGCAGAGTTAGGCGGGAGGCACGTGAAATCAATGCAGCAGAGGCTGGTTTGCGGTGGGCTGATCGGGTCGGAAAAGAGGGGTAAATCGAGATGGAGAGAGCCAGCTGAACAGTCTATGAGGGCAGAGTGCGTGGCTAGAAAATCCATACCGAGAATGAGTTCATAAGGGCAATGTTTGATAACGACGAAAAGAACGACAGTGCTTCTCTCCCCAATAGACACTCGCTCAGAGCACATGCCAAGAATTGCGGCAGTTCCTCCATCGGCGACTCGTACAGCTCGGTTGAGGGCGGGTGTGACAACTTTTCTATGTCGGCGGCGAAGGTTAGTACTCATAATGGACACATGTGCGCCAGTATCTATCAATGCACTGACACGAACATTGTCGACAGTAACGTCCAAAAGGTTCCGCTTCGTTGTTTACGGTAACTGAGAATTTCTTGTGAAAGTTGTCAACGCAGCTCCACCTGCAAAAGCTGCACGGCATAGTTTTCCGGTCGGAGGTGCTGCGAATAGGTCGGGGAGGCAGGAAGGCGTTGTGGGGGCGACCGGGACTAACGACGAGCAGGGGACGGTGACCAATCGTAGCAAGGTCTGCTCAGAGGTGCTGCAGGAGCGGAAATTGTGGTCGGCGTTGATGGAGAAAGTGATTTAGACGACTGGCGAAGAGAAGTGGCGTGATACTGAGGTGCATAATGGGATGGTGGAGCCAAGCGGCTGCGGCAGTGACGAGCGATATAGCCAACGCGTCGACAGTTAAAACATATGGGCGTGTCATCAAGAGTACGCCATTCGGACGGATTGCGTTGTATGCGAGGAGCAAAAGCGGTACAATAAGAAGGCTCAGCAGAGTATGCGGCAGGAACAGGATGTAGGCCGACATTCGATAGCTCTTGACGAACGACCGCTAGTATTAAAGAGATCGGGGTCGGGGAAGGCGCAGGCGTCGGTAATGGCGTGGCTACCGGTTGTGCTGCCTCGACCTCTCGACGAATGATGCGTGTAAGGTTGTCACATAGAGGGGCCTGGTGGAAGGCGTCGTCACACGAAGAACTGGCCGCAGTGTTCGGAAGGCGCACGATGCTTTGGGCTATGCGGCGGGCTTTAGCTTGTGCGAGACGTCGGCATACTTTTAGGATTGTGTCGATGCTCGAGACGTTGTTAAAAACCAGCAGGTTGAAAGCATCGTCAGCAATGTCTTTCAAGACGTGGTTAACCTTTTCGTCTTCTGACATGCACTGGTCGGCCTTGGAACAAAGGGCCAAGACGTCAAGAATGTAGGAGACGTACGATTCGGCAGAAGACTGGGCCCGTCTGGAAAGAGTCTTTTTCGCAGCGAGCTGACGACCAGTTAAATCGCCAAACAGGTCACGTATCTTTTCCTTGAAGAGATCCCAGCACGTCATGTCGGCTTCGTGGCTTTCAAACCATGTTCGGGGAGTGCCGTCCAGGTAGAAAAGCACGTTGACAAGCATGAGCGTAAGATCCCAGCGGTGAGTAGCACTGACGCGCTCGTACCGGTTCAGCCAAGTGTCAAGATCGATCGTACCATCACCGAAGAAAGTGCCGGAATCTCGGAGGTGCGGGAGTGTGACGTAGGTGGTGGCTTGCACTGATGAGGGCGGCGTAGAGGTAGTATTACCAGTCAAAGCAGTCGAAAGGTCGCCGATGGTGCGACCGCTGCGCATCTCCATCAAGGTACGGGGGTCGTCCACCTCCACCAATAATGTTACGAGTAACTTGTTTAATGATCTATTTACAGCGCACAGAACTTGACGAGCAAGATGGCGCCAGACCAGCATCAAACGAAAACTCACTTCGTCTTCCTCTTTGATGGAGCCGTGTTTAGCGGCTGTTATGTATCAATATCGTCGAAGTCCACTGAGTGACGAAGGTCGAAAGAGAGATAAAGAGCGCCGAGAGCGAATGCAGTTGGTAGTTCTGGCTCTCTGGCAGTCTCTTCTCAAACTAGAGCACGCGCTGGAGTGCCGTCAGCGCTGAAGAGCCATCTAGGTGTCTTCAATCAGACAAGAAGGGAGAACGCAGCGACACCCCTATTGATGGCTACGAGTACTAGAGGCTGGCTACACTGATGGGAGAACAAGTGACGACAATAATGAACCCCGCCCTTAAATGCTCAGACAATTAAATGCATTCTTTCCTCTTTCGATCATTGCATGCATATGCGGCCAGAGCGCCCAGTATCTGGTGCAACACGTTATCTCTATGTTCGGCACAAGCACGCAAGTCAGACACAAGGAGATGTATAGTTGCGCATGTTGCTTTTACGCGAATAGTGCCAGTCTTGTAAGAGCGAGCATTCGCGGTAACTGAGAAAGGTTATTATATGCCTGTCTTTGCGGGGAGGTGGTGTGCACGTTGCTGCATTTTTCAATGTTCACTCAGTAAAGGTCTACTTTAACCTAGGTAGCATACGATACCTAGTCTCAAACGGATAACTCGTTTTCCAGGATTTAGTTCGTATTTTTGCGTAATAGGTCGCCAAAGCAGAGAAAGATATACTTTTTCTGCAATGTTTGTTTGGCCTTATCGTGGGTCACACAGCGAGAAAAGGTCCTTTTTGATATCAGTTGTAGCCAGGGGAAACACAATACACGCAGCCCCACCTCACCTGCTGTCTGGTGTACCTCCTATGCAATTTCTTAGCTTCTACTTCGTACGAAAGGTTTGCACTCTGTCACTGTTTAACAACTGTTGACCTACTCAAGTTTTCGAAACATTTCATATAGATGTAAGCGCTCACCGCACATATATATAAGAAGTGACCAAGGTTTCTGCTTTTCGAAAAGGTGTTTAGTAGAAGTACATCGGATTTCTGATGCATTCAGGTTGACAATGTTACTTTTTGTTTTCGTTGTCTTCGCAAATCTCGCTGTCATCAGTTTTGCAGGTAACTTCTTATAACTGTTCTCAACCCGTAAATTTAGTCCTGGAAATACACAATTGTCCTAGTAATATGACCTGATAACAATATTGTTTATTATTAATAAATTCACTTTTTGTAGATGAACACTACTTGTTTCAGACTGTGAGTTACTACTAAACTTTATCGCTCACAAGTCGTTCAACCATATTATTTTAACACAAACGACATCAACCAATATCTACAAGGCTGTTTTAAACTTTTTGTGCGTGCTAAGCATTTCAGAGGTACACTCTTATAGGATATACGTATGCTACATAGGCTACCTTAACCATTACATAACGCTACTTTCATACCATTCATTACAAGCTGATTTCATGCCATGAATCGCGACCTTAGGGACGTATATCTTTACAGAAATAGAAACCATTAAAGCTTTCTTAGGGACCACCTCACATTTATTTGATGTTTTCTGTCATCAATATGCTTCTTTTTGCTCATGTTGTTGAAAATTACAGGAAGTCAATTTTTGGTATACCCGAGAATTCTGAACGAGCGGACAACAGCTTCGCACCTCGTTCTACAGCTGAATCAGGATATTACTCTCAACCTAAAAAGAAGTTCAGTGTTGGCGGACGAATTACTGGTGGCCACGAGCACTCTTGAAGGAAATCAACTGGAGTTGGTACGTAAATAGTGTGTTGTAATATATGTAAAAATTACAGTTTTTGATCCCGGCAAGAACAATGCTGGAGTGTCGTCATGAGGCGACATCGCAGTAAGGCAGAACTCAAATTACGATGATATCAATGCTGCTCCGTTGATAATCGAATAACGGTGATATCATGACTGTGAGGTCCGTTACTTTTTGCGTGCGTGATGTCCGCTTTCTCTTTTTCCACCTTTAAAACAACTATACTTTTCCTAGTGTAACCCAGCATACAGGTATCTCAAGAATGGCTAGTATGGTAGTCTTTCAGCTCAAATGAAACAGCGAAAAGAGAAAAAGTTCCAGAACAAAGAATGTACACCTAACAGCGCAATTTTCTTTGGCGTTTGTGGTACCAGTACGTAAATGCATTTGCCTATGCTGAATGAATCAGCCCGAAATCAAAGAAACAGGGCTTGCTCTATTTGATGCAACGTTCTCTACAGTGTAAATGCTTTTGAAACTCGTATTTATCACTCTAAACTTAGCCTATACGTTGCATAGTCTTCATCGTTTTTCGTACGTAGCTTTCTCTTTTCTCTTTTTCAGGTCAATACGTCTGACATTCAAGCTAGTTTGTACCATGATCTACACCATCAATCTTCTGTAATCGTACGAGCAAGAGATGGTGCAGCCGAAGTAGTAAGCTATTCTTATCGCTTGAATATAGTGGTTTTTACGTTAGACTTTTCTGTAACTTGTATGTAATATGACGCGACTCTTTATGCGAATTTTATTTATACATGTTTTCCCGAAAATGGCCCTTCAACCAACGTATGGGTGAATATAACCGACTATAAGGTTACACTTAGGGCTGCTCAATTAAGCGATAAGTTTTTTAGAAGTTATTCCCATTTAGTAAAATATAATCAGACTCTTAGCCGTGAGCAGTCTCATTGCAAGACAACCGAATAACGTAAAAATTATATACGAATTTGTATGAATTCTGTTATAAATTTGGCATATTTTTCATTCAGTTTTATTGGGCATAAGTATGGCGGTAAAAACGCCCACATTATATGACAGAATAAATACTGAAGCAATAATAAATGATATCAAGTGCCATTAGTAATGGTACCACAGATCCCAGCACCATCCATGCACCTCGGATGGTGCTTCAAATCACACTGCAGTTATATTAAAATGGCATCAGGCGAGGTCACAGCTGCTACTGAGTATATTTTACTGCTTCCTTAAAGACTTAAGCTGAATCATTCTAGTAGATGATATAGTGCGTAGTTGTAGGACGTTGTTATGAGGTGTTGAAGTTCGAAATCTAGATTCGAGCTTCTAGCATACCACAGAAGTTTTAACGAAGAGCTAGTTGTTTATGTAAGCTCACGAGTTGCTCAACAAATCTAACACGAAGTTTGATATGATTATCACCTTTCACAGGAAGGTATCATAAATCACAATCTAAGGATAAAACCGGTTTCAGCAAGCAAACGTTCTCAGAGAGGTGAAATACCTCATCGGATATACGAGGTTGAAGAACCGAAGAACATTCCCATCACAATGAGTAAATTTTTATTTGTTTTTTTTTTGTACTGACTACGCAGTTGTTCGTCCCGCATGCATACACTTTTACTGGTATCGTACCCTATAATACATGTGCAATAAGCTGCCAGTATTTATACACAGGTAGCAATAAGTTTTTGCTGTATACTAATATGAAAATAGAAGTGTCCTCCAAATACACTATTACACCATTACATTGTGATAGAATCTGTCAGAGTGTGAGTTTCTGTTTAGTCACCATACGGCTTTGGCTAATCGATGCCTTATTGCAGGAACACACGTCACCGACTATAGCTCAGCTGATACAAAATACTATGTACACAGTACTTTTACAACAAGCTGACAGACAACATGTCTCTACTACAACATGCCTCTACTACATGCCTCTACTACAAACATGCCTCTACTACAAAACTGACAACCATAAAGAAAGATAGCCGCCCAGCCACGATGGTCTAGTGGCTAAGGTACTCGGCTGCTGAGCCGCAGGTCACGGATTCAATTCCCGGCTGCGGCGGCTGCATTTCCGATGGAGGCGGAAATGTTGTAGGCCCGTCTGCTCAGATTTAGGTGCGCGTTCAAGAACCCCAGGTGGTCGAAATTTCCGGAGCCCTCAACTACGGCGTCTCTCATAATCATATGGTGGTTTTGGGACGTTAATCCCGACATATCAATCAAATCAATCAATCAAGAAAGAAAGATAGATAGAAAAATAAAAAAATCAATGAAATGGCTAGAAAAATAGAAACTAGCACATAGTAAGCGAGAAAACGAGATACGGAAATAAACTTTAAAATAAGAAAAAAAAGGTTGAAATAGCAAAAAAGAGAGTTAGAGAACAAGAGGCAAATGGTGAAAACGAAGAGAGTGAGAGGTATGAGGACGAGTAGATGAAAGAAAAATTGGCAGCATATCCACGGAGTCAATGATGGAGAGTGGGGCGAAGCATTCGTCCGCCCATTCGTTCTTGCTTCCGTCCGTCCATGCGTCCGTCTGTGTGACCGTCCGTGCGTTCATCCGCCCGTCCGTGCGTGCATCTGTTCGTGCGTCCATCCCTGCGATCGTCCATGCATCCGCCCATGCGTCAGTTAATGCGTTCATCCATGCATCTGCCTGTGTGTCCATTCGTCCATCTATTCAACACTGCAAGTAACACCCTTTCGCACCTTTTCATCATATATTCCCCATGTAGAAGCACCTCCATTCAGCGGACATTCCAAGGATTAAACGAGAGGTGGCACACGCACACTTTCTTACGGCTCGCGCTTCGTGTCTACTTCCCACCTTTAACCACCTCGAGTTAATGGTATATACTAGTTCACTGTATTTATGGCACTGCGGCCAAACGCTCACTGAATCTTTTAAAAAACCAAGGAGTTTACGCCCAGTGAGCATAACGTGGCAACCTTTTCCTGTCAGATAGTGCTCTATGTACACGCCAATGGTTGCTAATGGGGAATGAGAGATAGGAGCATTCGGCTTTTAGTTAACGCGCACGCCACGAACTTTTTAAATTTCAACAAAGCACAGGAGAAATCTCCCACCAGCACCACCTTGCAGATCAAAATGTAACACTTGTTACACACTACGACTACGACTACGAGGGACCAACGGGTGCCGCTTTAAGGAGCTTCGCCCCTAAAACATGACTGGTCCTACTATATTGGAATCGGTATAACGCGAAAGTGAAACGTGACTTTACAGAGCTACTTGAGCCTTTATTATCCATTGTTTCAGCAACAGTAACCAATTTTGAAATCACGTTAGGAACTGCAAGCGCCTTCAAACTACAAACGCACACCTCAAGCAGAAAGCACGTACGAAATGAGTGTACACATAACAAGCGCGGAATAACAACATCCACAGCTCGACACGTAAAGAGCGCTGTTCAAACCGAAAGGCACAAACAACCAGTGCACAAGCTTCAACAAAAGGAAAGTGAACAACTGTCTCATTTTTTCTTGGATCGTTTGTCAGCAGCGTGCTTCTTTGGTAAACGCGGCTGCGGCAGCGTACAAAAGGACCTTCGTCCTCTCCCCAATTACGATTTCGACAAGCGGCGCCCAGGAGAGACCACGCTCCGTGGAGGTGGCGCTTCGAGGGGGTGATGACCTTTTGAGCTCGCCCAACGCGAGCATGTCGCGCCATCTCGCTAGAGATAGCGAAAGCAAAAACGGCCTAAAGTTTTGAAACTTTGTGGACTTTCAAACGATGTATGGTGTATATAAATGGCTTGCCAATAGCACCCTCGACCAAGTACATTTTGTTGTCTAGTTGTTAGCGTCACGCTCTGGGTATCGAGAAGCTGCTGGTTCGATTGCACGCTGTAAATGATTGGCTCGATCAATGAGGGTAACTTTATTTTAATTACTATACTAATAAAAACCAACGATTATTTGAACGGATAGCCTGAAGTGGCTAGCGACGGATCCAACACAATGTGCAACATACTGTGTGCAGATCAGCTACGAGGAAAGAAACGAAAACATTACCATAAATACAGAAAATACACGTATATACTTTTTCTTCTCAACGTGTATACTTCTTATCATATAACTAGCTTGTCAGAAATAGGCCTTCATATAAAAAAGAATAGAACGAAATACCAGTAAAACATACATACACATAAGGAGATGACGCTTCATTAGATAGAAGAAAAAAACTGTTGCATGCTAGGCCAACATTACGTGCACTTTTATGCTCTTGGAAATCCGTGTTCTTGTTCCAATGAATTCTTTGAGTCTTTCTTTATAAACATTTTAGCAATTGCACAGTATGAAACTACCATTCCAGCATGTCATCTACTGTCCATATGAATAGAAACAAGATCTGGAGACAGAGGTTATTTTTATAAACTATATATATTCTTTATTGAAACAGCTGCTTGGCAGTTGCGCAATATTAGAACTGAGATAGCGCGTTGGGACTGAAAAATATCGCTTACTGATTGCCCTTGGCTTATGATACTCATTGTATGGTTCTGAATTCATTTAAAAGTTTTTAGGCATCTCTTGTACACCACACACCAAGATTCCAGGAAGCAACCTATATAATTGTTAAACAATTGAAAGCAGAGTCTACAAAGCACAGTTCACTGGAAATATTGCCTAGTATTTAATAAAGTTTAGCATGGTTACCCTTGTGCATACACTACGTAGTTGCTCATGTTAATGGAAATTCTCATCAAAAATGACGCCGAAGTATATAAAAAACCTAACTTGATGATATCAGCGTCATTCAGTGTTAGGTTAAAAATATAGTATCGATGAGTTTTTGTGAGAGTGAAACACTGCGCATTTTGCTTTAGGACAGTTACCAGTGACCGTTATAAGAGGAAAAGTAGAAAAAAATAAACAACATGGAGTGAGAAAGAATATATAGAAATAGATATACAAACAATACAGCAAAACCAAAGGCGAAAATGAAAAAAAAAGAAAGAAATAAGGAAGGAGTCTATTTCCTCCTCCTCGACTAGTTTTTACACTAGCGAAGGAGACAAGATAATTGAGGTTCGGAACAGGTCCCTTCGATGACTCGAGTGCACGATGGCAGCGCGAAGGAAGAGCCATCGTCCGGTGAAGAGACGCTTCATTTCAGCCTCAGGCGTCTGCCCGAGTCCAAGCCCGTACCTCCACTCTTCATTTCAGATTCAAACATCCTCTTTCAACCATGGGTTGAACACATGGTCTTCACACAAGCCAATCAAACGTTGGGGCTCGCATCATCACAACCAATTACTGAAACACTTTCATAACAGACACTTCATTAGTAAAACCACGTTGCTAAATAAAACACGCAAAGGGATAGGTTCTCCACGTGCAACGCTCTCTCCCATGCCAGGACGTGCATCCGACGACCTCCGCCGATAGCCGTTTTCACGCTCAAGCTCCATCAGCTTTCTCATTACGCGTTGCTTATTATAAGCCTCCTTAATCGCGGAGAGTACACCGTGAGGCCCAGTGCACTGACCAGGTGTGCACGCGACAGCGAAGCGCCCCGCCATGCTAACAACAGCCGCTAATGACGTATAGCGGGGGAAAATAAGCTCGTCTGCGTGCCGCCATCATGTCTCGGACAGCCCAGTGGTCGCGTTCCTGCGTCATTCCAAATGGGACGCATGTATGCCAACAATGACCTAAACTCAGATGGCGGCGCTTGGCCTGCTTCTTTCAAGACGCTCTTCCGAGTGAGTTTTCCCCTTCTAGTCCCAGATGGGGGTGACCTCGACGGCTCCGTCGTGAACCGTATGAACGAAGAAGTCTCCTTTCTTTCCCGTGCTCGGGTCTTCCGCGTTCCCCTTCACGGAACCGATCAGCTTCGTTAGTTGGCGGGTAGAGATCTGGCTCCGCGCTCTGCATCAGCCGCATAAATGGCGCTACACAGAACACGCCGGAAATTGTTGCCTAAGTGAAGGAGAGAAAGAAATCACTGAATATAACACAGAAGGCCAATGAGTACAGCAGTTTTTTTAGGCTTCTCACCACTAGTGCGAAGCTGTCATAATGTTTTCTTTGGAACGAAGATATGTTGACGCAGAACCTGAATGGTACGTAATGGCATGTTCGCAAGTAACGTGATGTCCTCAACACAAGCACGTTGCCGAACGCGAAATGTGTTTTTATCAGACAATGCTTTCGAAATACTTTAGCATATAGCAGCCTCACTCGTTTTAAAAGAATCGTTGAACTCCCCCGTTCGCAGCAACGAAATAAACATGTCCACAAAAGGCACGCGATAGTTTTAAACACTGACTGACTGAAAACATCTATTCATCGACAGAAAGGGAGTGGTCCTTAAGGGTCCACCCCGTACAAACACTAAGTGGTCTCCCTGGTATGTTAGCCCGCTGGCATAGGCCGTAGCCTGGGCACGCTCCACCAAGGCCCGTGGAGCCGTCATGTGAGAGCAGCCGACCAAAGCTGCCTCCCAGTCTTCCCGGGAAAGGTTGGGCAATAGAGTTAGAATGCAGGTATTTTGGCATGCCCACACCGTGTGGAGATTGTCAATGAAATTTTCTCGCAGTGCGATAATTCCCCCGGGCAAGCGGAGTCGAAATGTTTGACGATTGCCGGGTACAAGAGAGTGTTAGTGTAAAGGCGACGGAAGATTTGTTCCTCCATTTTCGTGAGACGCTTACAGGATTCAGGATAGGAGCGATGGCCAAATTGCTAGATCTGTGTGACCTCCGTTAAGGTGTTAGTGGTGTTGGCTTTGAGGTCCAGAGCGGTACGGGACAAGAATGGCGCCTGGAGAGCGAGAACACGGGCGTCGGCATCGGCCGACTCATAACTATAGGGACCGTACGAGCCGGAGCTGAAGACAGCTGAAGAAAAGAAAACACAAGATACATAACCACACAATTCAGGATATGTAGTTTAGGGCTCAAATATCACTACAGACAAGAAAATCCGTGCATTTTTCAGAGCACAGTAGATGAGGTAGCTGTAAGCTTTATTTATTGTGTTCGATGTCCTACGAAATAACCACACTTATGACGCAGAAGGGAGAAAACTGCTGTCAAAGAAAATTACAAAATTAAAACTTGGTTTTCTAGGTAATGGCAATACTTGGCGAAAGATTACAAAAAGAGCATTAGACTTTGACCGGTTTGCTGTGGAGGTCCACGTGGTATCAGACAGCGTGCACCAACAAAATTTCGCAAAAACTCAGGAATTAATTGCGTACTTTGCAGTCCTGCTAAATGGAGTAAGTACCTTTTTAAACTGCAAAACAAAGATTTTCATTCATTATTATGATGTTTTTACCATGAGAATAACATTCAGAACATGAAGTTACAGGAGTACTTGACTATATTTCGATTCCTTACAAAACATGTGTACAACACTGAGCTCATTGTGCTAACATGAAAGTAAAAATGTAAAACTGGTACATGTATTATTCTTTAGAGCCTCACTAGCAAGTTTGTACCGGGGCTCATCATAAAAATATGTGTATGCAACAATGAGTACGGTTGCTTCAGATCGAAATGAATAGGTCGTAGATAATGTGTCTAGTTTCCTTATTGTCACGCTAGCGTATATTTTTTTTGGCGAAGATATGTTCACATAGGATTAAGTGGTCTCCAAAGTCATTTTTTTTTTTGATATTCAACGTTGTGGTCATTCTCCTCCGCGACTTCTTGCATATCAGTACTTGCATCTTCTAGTAAAAAAATATACTATTACACATCACACTGACTTCAACCACAGCAAGCCAACAAACGGTTTCCGAGGTTGAAGTTTAGTTCCGAGTTGTTTTGAGTGCAATAATATATTGTAAAATACAATGAATCACAAGAGAACTTGGTATATAATTTGTCCATGTACTTAAAAGGGCAAAGAACGAAGTCTTTTAGGTGACTGAACATTTGGTATGTAGCTTACACAACTGCTGAAATTTTATGTGCATATTGTAAACAATACAGGTGTCAAGATGTCGTGCGCATATTCAGATTGGCACAGTGGGTCAAAAAAGGAGATGGCGAGAACTTAGCATAGCTATTTCTCATGCTGTTAGTAGGCAACGATATTTGGAGGTGTGAAGAATTTTAACGCATGATCTGCCTGAGCTTACGCTAAAAATGTATATGCATTGGAGCCACGGCGAAACAATCACATATAAACCCCAATAAAGTCAGCAGTGAGCTCGCCATGGAGTTTCTAGCCAACTGTTGAGACCTGTCTAGGTGGTTATTGTAGAGTTCTGTTTGATATATTGAAGTACAAAATTAGCGAAGAGTTGTTGTCACCGTTACTTGGCAATGACTACCCCTTTTCATTATAATATTACCCCATCCTCCGGGGTGCAGACATGTACAGATGAAAAAATAAATGAAAAAAAAAGTGGGTATGAGCAGCTTCAATATTTGGACATACGTTTTTCAGCATGAATATATATTGTAATTGAAAAATGGTAAAACTCCGAGTAGTTTTACGTTCAGAATTGCTAACAATAAATATTGGCAGTTTGCGACAACGTCTAGCTTGAAAAATTAAAAAAAAACAAAATAAGAATTGAAGAACAGCTTTGCTTTTAACGTCTGAAGAAATTCGCTTTAGAAAACCATGAAAGGTACTGAACGTAGCCTGAAACTGCAATTCATAGCATTCTTACAGTCCTGCCAGCAGTAACTATTTTCTGAAGGATTGAAGTTTGGTATAAAATACAAAACACATTTTCCTTGAGTAATGAGGGGAGCTCAATGTCAAACTAGTAAGACTAACTTACAGACTAATGATTGTTATTGAACAGGTGTTGTGAATGGTGTTTTTGTGCTCACGGCATAGTGAATGCTGGCCTACTACACACAAACTATTATTATTTAGGCCTAGTGGGTATCCGGCAAATGTGCTCGTCGGATTTACCCAAAGTGTGTTTAGAAAACACTCTGAAAGGCCACTCCTTCAGCTTTTGCCGTGACTTTACTGCGTGCTGCGTGCAAACATGGCGTTTTTTTCATCCAGGGTAAGGAATTGTTTTGCCTTTCTTTGCGATGTTAACCAAGCGATGACTCCTCCATTAGGTCAATTTAAGGTATCTGGACATGAGAGAGCCAAGAATAAAGTTCATGTTGGTCGGAATAACCAGGAGCTTAGTAAGTAGCTTTTCCATGTTTCAAATAAATCTTGCATTTCGTCTCAACTTTTTTAGTTTACTTCACGAATTTATTTCATCTTATGAAACGAATGAAAATATTGAGTTATCTAAGAGCATGCGCTGCGTGGTGAATATACATAGGAGGAAGAGTTAGGATTACGCAAAAACAGCTAAAACTGCTTTCAACAATAAAACACTACAGATACTCAGCAAGCGATGATCGAAAGCATAAGAAATATTTGTGTGCATGTCAGGTAATATTACATTTGTTATGCATATCTAATATCTAGAATGATTCTTTAAAGAAATTCATAGTTTAGCGTCGTAACAGTTAGTTACTGGCCCATCGATTTGAAAGTGTGCGAAACTTGAAGTTGCGTGGCGGTTTGGCCAAGTCGGTAGCTGATGACGATTATTATAGTGCAAGCTCAGAACAGAGCTCGCCTGTTTGTCATTTCGTCGCCGTTTTAAGCTCGCGCTATAATATTCGTCGTCAAGTTGCGCTTTCAATAACCATACAACGGAAATATGTAGTCTAGTTTTTCTATGGCATCAATTCATGTACAATATATTGGTGTCATTGCCCTAACGGAAGTGATATCAGCGAGCTGTTCCTCGTACGTGGCGTACAACACATGATTGACGACTGCACATTTAGAAGCATCTTATGCACATGGTTTGCAGTGACCATTGGAATGAAATACTAAGAATGATAAAATACATCTAAACCCAATCATCAAATCTCTTTCTACCACCATGCTACATCGCGTTGTCATCTTTACAACTTGCCTAACGACAGAGTGCTTCTCTGGGCAAATCATATTTTTCACACTTCTTCGTTTGACGCGCACATGTGCTGGCTGGAACTTGCATTATTCAGAAACCAAATATTGACAGCATGCCGTACGCTCAACAGCCGTTTTCTAACGTGAGACGCAAAGGTAGTTTAGTAGGTAATTTTTCCCAATGGTACGCTTCAGCGCACAAGTTCAATTTTCACCCATAGCAACAAAACTTAGGCGAAAGCGAAATGAAGATAGGTGAGCATAGATTTAGTGGTAAGATATAGAACATCACATGTTTGGTTTTGTTCACGTGTATACATCAGGTGTCGTTCATTATCAGAGCATACATATGACCCGTAAGGCCCCGTATATTTCATGCTCCAACGAAGGTTGTAAGAAAACCATGCTCTAACGTGCGAACTCAGACAAGGAGCCATCTTGCCCTTCGCATCCTCAACTTCCTCGTCTTCTCTCGTAGACTTAGGCTGCGCACGTTTATTCATTCTCTACATGCTCCCGCCCCAAGGAGTTGCAGGCTATCTCTACCTAATAGAGCTTCTGTACAGGTCGCCGCTGAATGTTGCCTTGTTTCGTCTTGATTCGAAAGCCCGTACTACACCGTCTTGACCGGGAAAACCTCTACCACACAGTCAAGGGGCCAGATGCACCTTGAAACAAATGGCTGCTCGGCAAGCACGAAGTAATCTACTTTTGTATCGCAGTTAATGCGAGATAGATAATGGTGAAGGGCTTGCAGCTCCTACAAGTACTCCTTTCTCCATCGCATTGACGGGTGAATAAGCAGTTTTTCTCGATACCTCAGCTTCTTAGAAAGGTCGCTCGTTGTTGCTTGTGTGCATCTAGCATCATATTCAGAGCTATGTGGCCCTCAAAAAGCAGTCAGTGAAAATCCTGCCAGAAAACGGGTGGAGCACATTGGCGTATGTTCTCTTGTATAAAGAAAAGGGCCTTCTGTTCACACGTTGGCGGGACGTTTTTGTCGGAAGTAGGGTATTCGTCTGCTTTAGTAGGCCATCTTGACCTTGGCTGATCTAGTGATCTAGGACCCTTGCACGTATCCATTTTGCCCAGTAAGTCATTGCGAGACGGTGAAGCCGGTGTATGAGACGATGCATCAACTGCGCTCAGCTTTGCAGCCAGCGATTCTTGTGTCACTTTTTTGTGGGGTATACCGTAGACATGTCGGCCCTCAAGAACATCTTTAGGCACCAACTCCGCGTGTCCGAGCAAAGTATATTGTGTTATGACCTCGTCGTATTGATGGAGCTGTCCATTTAGAAAAAGTATGTCATCTTGTTTCGGTAGTCGAGTGAGAAGTTTCCCATGGTTATCTTCATTCTCCGGTGGCTAAATTATACACCTCTCATGTGATTCGTCTGCTGTCTGGTGGAGTGCATCAAAAGTCGTCGAAATTGTGCAGAGTTGCTTTGGCCCATGATACCACGTACTCCGAGTTTCCCAGAAGTCTGCGATCTATGTGATGTCACTTCGTCGTCAGGCTGGGTACTCACGTGTAGTGCACGGATGATGAAATTCGCATCTTGCGGTGAATAGCGCTTGCTGGGCGTGTCCTTGGAAAGTGCATCCAAATGGTGAATTCATGGCGACCAAACCATGAATATCTCTGCTGCGCGAGAATTCTCCGGTCAATATCTCCAAGAGGTAATTTGACCCGATGAGTAAAGGCAGCCCGGGTTCCACCTCTGCTCCAAAGAAGCATCGTTCCTCAGCGATGAATGTTCCTTCAACTCGCAGCTGTCTCACAAGTTTGTTGTCGTTAAACGGTGTACAAACGTCAGGGCAAATAAACGCCACAGTGATGGCTTGTACAATCCAAACTTGCGAGTTATGCTGGCTATGAAGAGGCACTTCCACAACCTTGAACTTTTGGGCTCTGGACGTTGTCGTTCTTCCAAAAACGTTGAAGGTTATTCTGGTCGGCCGAACGCCCTTGAGTTGTCACTTAGTGGCGAGATCTTTCTTGATAAATTACCGTTCACTGCCACTGTCCAGTATACCCCTCATGTATCTACAGTTATCATTGTGACCTGCCCAAGCACGGAACATCTGAAGATATACTCCCTTGTCCGTCTTCGATAGAATGCACGACGACTCATCATGTCGGAGTACAGCGTTTATTTGTGGGGTTTAACGTCTGAAAATCACTATTTGATTATGAGAGACGCCGCAGTGGAGGGCTCCGGAAATTTTGACTACCTGGGGTTCTTTAACGTGCACCCAAATCTGAGTACACGGGCCTACAACATTGCCGCCTCCATCGGGAATGCAGCCGCCACCGCCGGGATTCGAACCCGTGACCTGCGGGTCAGCAGCCGAGTACTTAAGCCACTAGACCACCGTGGCGGGGCGGAGTACAGCGTTGGCTGACACAAGTGGTCTCATGCTGTCAGATATTAGTGTACCTTCATGCCTCTCATAGTTTGGGTCACACATGCTCGAGGCATGTTTGCCGTGGCAAAGTGAACCAGTGAGCTTCACATGGCAGCACCAGGCCTGATGACCTCGGGATGTACACTTGAAGCAACGATTGTCCTTGCTTAGCTGTTGCTTCTTCGACTCAAGAGAAATTTCGGAGTATCAAGTACGAGTTCTATGCTTATCTTATCTGATCTGCAAAAGAAGCGTTCTTCCCGTTCCGCCCCAGTAGTGGTATGCAACACCAACCCGGTACTGCGGTCTTTAAACGTTTCAACATTTTTATTTCGCCCTGTAGGCATCGCGAAGCACTGCTCTCGGTTTTTCGATTTCACTCTTGTGAAATAGAGCAGGTCATTGAGCTCACCATCTGAACACGTGGTCGCAAGTGCCTCTTACGAAAGATTACCGATAGGTTTTCAATGGGAGGAATTCTTAGTGCTTCTCTTTGATTTTCGCGTACGAACGCATAGACAATGTCACCCGGTAACGCGTTGCGCAGGATATCGCCGAGCATTGCAGAAAAGCTGAGTGTCGGTACGTTGAAAGCTTTCAGGCAACGAATATGCAGTTTCACGGCGTCATACAACTACCGAAGATCCCTTACATCGTTTCCCGACATGACATGAGGTAGGTTTTTTTGAGGCTGACAGGTGGTACTGTTCTATTTTCTTCTGGTCTCCAAACCTTTCTTCGTTCAGCGAACTGGGAGCGCAGAGAAAAACACAAAGGACCTTTGTGTTTTTCTCTGCGCTCCCAGTTCGCTGAACGAAGAAAATGAATTACCAACTGGCCCACATTTTGATCCTTTTCCAAACCTTTCCTTCAAAATTTCGATCGTGTGTGCATAGCGTGATTCTGAGGTTGGTCGACCGGCGATAAATGACGCTATTTGTGCCACAAGGCAATTACGTAAGTAGTAAAAGTTCGTTGTCTGGGAGAATGTCTCGTTGCGATCAACCGTCTGCTCGAACTGCTCCGAAATTCCTGTTCAACTTTGAATGTCGCCGTTAAACCTCCGAAGGGTAAGTTTAGGCAGTCGTAAGCAGGTAGAAGTTCTCGCGTGATGATCGGGCTGTACAGTCGTTCTTTGAGCATTAGCTTCAGCCATAGCGCTAGTCTGAGCTGCTGGTGCTGCTTGCGGCTGGCTTCTAACACGCCCTAAAGTGGTGATCTGAGAGCGTTATTTAGCGAGCATACATATCGTCTGGTCGTTGTACTCTGCCGCAGCGTTATATTCTGCCTCAAACTCGTCGTCAGGAATGTGCTCTTCGAGAATGGCATTGAAGCTTGAAAGTCCCACATTACTCTCGCTGAGGTGGTCCAGAATACCTGTGAGCTTGGCGATTTCGGCGTTGGGATCGCTGATCAACATTCGGGCCTGCTGCAGTAGCTTGGTGTTCTGTGCACGTCGAGCTGCCCGCTTGGCCTTGAGACGATTCACGATGCAAGCTTTTCGGCTGCGAGTAGGCAGACACCCGTCTCCTCCAGTAACGATCAACGAAGCGCTCGTCGGTCGGTCTATCCTCGCCACAAGCGACGCAATCTGGACAAGTAGCAGGTGCCTTAAGTCGTGCGTAGAAGGGGTTACATTCCGCATGAGATTTTCAGCATCATAAAATGTAAGAAAACTATGCATTAATGCGAGAAATCATACAATGAGCCATCTTGATCTTTACATCCTCAACTTCTTCCTCTTCTCTCGCAGACCTAGGCTGCGCCTTTTATTCTTTTTCTTCAAATGTTGCATTGAATG